TGGCTCTCATGCTCACCAGTGGGAGTAGTGGTCCAGCAGGAGGCACCTCACAGTCCCCTCGCTGGGGCCATCTCCGTCACCCCCTGGGTTTCTCATGTGTTGGTTGGGTGCTGTGGCCCAATATAGCCTGCCTCACCTCTGCATTTGCCAGTGGGTGCTGTAGGTTGGCTTGGCCAGGCCCATCCCCAATTCCAGCTCACACTGGTGAGGGCTACAGCCTAGCCAACCCAGCCCTCCCAGCCCCAAGTCCCAGCCCTTATGTGGACTGGCTGGTATTGCACCTTGATCCAGCCTGACCCACACTCCATTCTGGTACTAGGATTCACCAGTTGGTGATATGGACTGACCCAGTCTGGCCTGCCCCCTGACCTGTGCCAAATGTATGCTGGGGGTTACCATATTTTAGCCTAGTCTGGGATGCTCTCTGTCTTGGTTCTTGAAGTCACCTGCATGGAGCGAGTCCCAACAGAGGAGTTCCCCACGCTCCCCCATTCAGATTTCTCCCAGTGCCAGGTCTCGTGCACACGGGTGGGGCCATGTGCTAGTCCACCTCCTGTCCTAGTAGGAACAGTGACCTTTCCTTACTGGCCCTCACCCATTCCGGTTCTTGTTGTTGGGTGCTACTGCCCAGCCAAGCCTGGTTTATACCCAGACAAAGCTCACACATGGCTCATTGGGGGCCCTGATTCTCACAAATACCAGTGGGTGCCGGATTCTAGCACAGTGTGCCACATCCCATACCCAGCCCACACACATACCGAGCAATTCTGCAGCTATATCCAGACCAGACTGCAGCCCACACCCTGGCCCTTGTGCTCTCCAAAGGGAATCACAACTGTCCCCTTTGCTCCCCAGCCAGGCCTGCTCTCCTCCACAGATCTCACGCCAGTGCCAGTGCCAGTGGTTGCTCTGACCTGGCCTGGCATAGCCCCTCATCTGCCTTAGCCTTTGTCTTTGGAGGTTGCAAGCTGGTCTGACCTAGCCAGCCCCCAGGCCCAACGCTGGCAGGTGCTGCAACCCAGTCCTCCTCAGTCTGCTCCCACCCCCAGCTCATCTGAACCAGTAGGTGTGATACCCTAGCCCGGAATGACCTGCACTTCAGCCTGGTTTCTACACTCACCAGTGGGCTAAGGTCTGCTTGGCCCTGCCAAGTCTGCCCCCTTCCAAAACCAACCCACACACTTGCCAATGGGTGGGGCTACCTTGCCCAGCTTGCCTGACCCCTAGGTCTAGAACACATGCTCACCAGTGGGAGCTATGGCCGAATAGGAGAGTTCCCCAGGTTCCCTGACTCAGCCCACTCTCAGACCCAGATCTCACATGCTCCAGCAGGTGCTAGGCCCTTGCCCGGCATAGTATACCCCTCCATCTTGGCCTTTGTATGAGCTGGTGGTGTTGTGGGCTGGCCTGCACTACATCCTGTTTTAGGATGCACATGCAGGTGCTGCAGCTTGGACCTGCTCAGCCTGTACTCAACCCCAGTACCCGTGAATGTTGGCGAGTTCCATGTTCACACCTAGTTCAGCCAGTTACTACCCCAGCTCTTGAGCTAACTAGCAGGTCTTGTATTTCCATAGGGTTGGGCCCACTTATCCTCCACAGAATCTACTCCTGGGGCTGGTTCTCTCGCATGCTGGTTAGTGTCATGGCCCTGCCTAATGCGACCTGTCCCCTGGTCCAACACTCAATCAGGTCCTTGAATCTAGCTGTGCTAGACAGGCCCTCAGCCCTAGCTTTCACATGGACTGGTGTGGGGTGGTCAGCAATGCTCTGCATTAACATGCCCATCTCAGGACTCCCATGTGGGCTGGTGAATCAGTCTGACCATTCAGATGTTCCAATGTCTCCCCTCCATACCACCAGTACAGTGGCCCCATTGTTAGGTGTCCGCAAGGATTCATTTCTCACTTACACGTATAGTGCCTGTATCCATGGATGTCCCTAGGCACTAATTTGTCACCCCCAAGTCCCCAGAGTTCATTGGTGGGTGGCCAGCAGGAAAAGCCCAGAGTCCAATGGGCGCACTAGTCGCCTGAGTAAAGATGGTGCTGGCTGCTTAAAAAGCAGCCAGGGGTGGGCTGCACCCTGTGCTCATCAGCCAAGATTAGCTGATGAAGCAGATGCTGAATGATACACGTTTAAAAGCTTGCCCTGGTCTGTTGTCCTATTGATGTGTGTGTGTGTGTGTGTGTGTGTGTGTGTGTGTGTGTGTGTGTGTGTGTGTGTGAGTGAGTCCTGTCCAGCCCAAGGGAGAGGTGATGCTGATATTTGCAGGACTTGGTCCAAAGCCATCCTTTCCCCTTGGAAACTGAATTCACTTGGGTTTTCTCATCACCTCCTACTTGTCACATGCTTCCTTGTTAAATCTGGAATTGGTTTTCAGGCTGCAGAGCTGGAAGTCATCTATTGATTCTTCAATCTGAGAAGCAATTTATTTTACGTCTGAGATGCTGAAGAAGACTCTCTAAGAGCGTTTTAGCCATTCTGCGCACATCTGCCCTTTCCTGTTCACATTCTGACCGTGTGACCAGCCACACGTCTGCAACCATCAAGAAACTGCGTCGTCTTTCCCTTTTTACATTCCAGCTGTGGAACTGGTGACCCATCACAATGTTCCTTCAGCAGACATGGACTGTCAGCTGGAAACAGTCCAGCTTCCTACCAAAGATGCCTCCATTTCTGAAATGAAAGGGTGCCACTGGCACAGTGGAGTGAGCCCTGCTGACCTTCAGACACTAAACCCGAGGGACGAATGGGACAAGGTCAGGGGCTGGTATGCGCTGCCGGATTTCTAAAAATGCCTTCTGTGTTTCAATGTTGAACTGCCACAATGGCTATGTCTTCATTGATATCTATGTATTGGCTATTATATAGATATGATATATAGAAAAGATAAAATTAAAAAGATGTAGATAGAAAAGATAAGCAAGAAAAACACTTGTACCCCAAGGCTGAGATTCCTGTACTAGCATTTTCATTTGATAACATCACACTTTTATTCACTGGAAAATCACAAGTACACACTGATATCTGCAAGCCTTTTCAGTTACATGTCAATGAAAGCAGGATGGTACATCTTAGGATAAAGAGGAAAGGGGATGAGTTCTATTAACAGACTTAATTGGCACACAGTCTAAGAGAATTCTACAAGAAGAGCCAGGGTGGGTGGGGTAATACATATAATACAGTTATTATTCTATTTTGCCAAAACATAGGTAATTTGCTTAGCTTTGGAATGCATTTGTTTTTTAAGATTTTATTTTTATTATTTTTTCATTGGAAAGGCAGATATACAGAGAGGAGAGACAGAGAGGAAAATCTTCCGTCCGATGATTCACTCCCCAAGTGAGCACAACGGTCGATGCTATGCTGATCCGAAGCCAGGAGCCTCTTCCGGGTCTCCCACGCGGGTGCAGGGTCCCAAAGCCTTGGGCCATCCTCGACTGCTTTCCCAGGCCACAGGCAGGGAGCTGGAAGGGAAGCGGGGCTGCCAGGATTAGAACCGGCGCCCATATGGGATCCCAGGCGTGCAAGGTGAGGACCTTAACCACTTGCGCCACTGCGCCGGGCCCCGCATTTGTTTTTTAAAGTCAGAATTCATGAATGCTTTTGCGTAGGCTAATCCAGCAGCGATGTTGCCTTTTGCGATGGGACAGTGATTGGACTATCGGGGATCTGTGGGATACTGAGAGATTAAAAACAGTGGTCAAAAGTTCACAGCAGGAAAAAAGAACTAACAGATGATTAAGCAAAAAACCCAAATAGGCAGACAGCTGAGTATTCCCTTCCCTATAGAAAGTTAGGACTAAAGGAGAGAGGTTCAACCCTAAACCACGTGCCGCTTGTGTAGACTCAGCTACAGAATGAATCAGGAAGAAACGTGGAGACTCACAAGTCACCTGAGCCGCACGGGAGCCCAGAACTTCTGCTCACACGGAGCCGGCTGTGCTGACGGCAGCTGACAAGGACAACTGACCACAACCGAGACCCCAAGGAGGTTAGGAGTCCAGGCTCTCTGCGCCTCTGAGGCTAAACGTTCCGAGTAGAAGCCGGGCGGGGGTTCTGCTCAGCCGCAGTGTGATGAGCTGCCCCCGGGGGAAGGGGTTAGCTGAGTCTGCAGGAGAAGGGGTGTTTCCCTGTACCCACCACTGAGGGTGGCGGTTCCAGAGAAGGGCTCTCCCCAGCCTGCCTTATCACTCGGATGGTTGAAGGCCAGGCTTGGCTGCCATGTGGCTTCTCCCATAGGTCTGGGGCAGACACGATGGGATGTTTTCCTCATTCCCACTTCACGAAAGCAAAACAGGGCATCCAGGGCAGAACCTTCGCACGGAGGGGTTCAGAAGGCTGACACATCCATCTCATTGCCCAAAGGAATGCGGCACTCTCAAGCACTGGTCAGAAAGAAGTTTTGATTCTTTCCTTGGAAACAAAGCCATTGGAGCCTGGCCTGGTTGCAAGCAAAACACTTTTCTGGTAGCCAGAAGCCTAGAGACTGCCTAGGCAAGGACAGGAGCTGGGTGGGAGGGCCCACCATCTCTCCATGAGGCTGCCAAGCCCACACAGATGAACTGCACCTGCCATTGTGTCCAAGCGCCTTCTATAACCATTACACATTCCTGTGCATAGAGGACGAGGGCAGCAGGGAGCGTGGGTCTCTCTCTCATTTATCCCCGTCTGGTTGCACAGTCTGACGGTTCCCTGGATCTGCTTTTCTGTTTTGTTTTTAAATGCCTTTGCTCAATATTAGCTCCTGTTGTCCTTGTCGAGTCCCACTGGCGTGGTTTGCACATAGTAGGATTTCAGACAAGTGAGTTGCCGCTCATGGTGTGACTGCGTACAGTGGGTGTTCAGCGGGCGTCAGGAAGTGTTGGCCACTGTGGTTGCAGTGTCCTTGCAGCTTCTGGCTGAGAACCATCATCCCGGCTGTCCTTGCCCAAGCAGCCCCGGGGCACCTGGCGAATGGCATGTGATGCTCTGAGCAGATACGACACGCCAGTGGGTCACTTCAGCCTGATACAGTCCACCTCTTCCGTGGCGGGCATGCCGCTGGTTTTGAGGTCAAGGTCAGCGCTGGACTTGCTCCCTTGGTGGGAGGGACGGCAGTGGAGCAGCAGCATCCTCTTGAAGTACTTGATGGTGTTGTTCTTGACCGCCACGAAGCAAATGGTGTTGATCATACTGTTGCTCATGGCGATGCACTCGACGACGTAGAAGGCGGTGAGGTAGTGTTTCTCCTTGACGAAGACCGTGGGGAAGAAGTCGCGCACCAGGGTGAAGCCGTAGAAGGGCGCCCAGCACAGCACGTAGGCCGTGAGGACACCCATGAGCACCAGCACCGTCCGCCGGCGGCAACGCAGCCGCTTGCGGATCTGCTCCGTCTGGAAGCCCGGCACCGCCTTGAACCACAGCTCCCGGGAGATCCTCGCGTAGCACAGGGCCATGGTGAGTACCGGCCCCACGAACTCCAGGCCAAAGATGAAGAGGAAGTAGGATTTGTAGTAGAGTTGCTGGTCCACGGGCCAGATCTGGCCGCAGAACATCTTCTCCTGGCTCCTGGCGATGAGCAGGACCGTCTCGGTGGTGAAGTAGGCCGAGGGGATAGCGATGAGGAGGGACACGGCCCAGACGGCCACGATCAAAAGGGAGGCCGTCTGGTAATTCATCCGTGGCTTCAAGGGGTGCACGATGGCAAGATACCTGGTTTGGGAGAGGGACAAAGCAACGGTTTTAGTGGAAACACTGCTGGTTTTGAACCAACCCCAGACACACCAAAGCCGACACACCGGCTCAGTGAATCCTTATGCATCCGTCTCCAGTCTCCCCAGGCCTCATCTTATTTTAGCAACACTTGGCACTTGGTGTAGGGAGGTGATGTGGGAGAGAGAGTACAGGTTTTCAGGTCAAACAGGCTGAAGAAATCTTGTTCTGGCCTTTTCCCCTGGCTAGCTCTGGGTTCTAGCATGAGTCAGTTACCCAGTCTCTCTGATATTCATTTCCTCAAATGGAACATGAGGTAAGGCGACACCTGCAGGACTTCCATGAACATTCAATGCAGCAATGCATGGGAGGTATGCAGTAGGTGCTCGTGAAAAAATAAACCGTTACGGTTGTAAGGATTCTGAGTGTACTACTTTGGGTTTCAGTCTCACCATTCTGCCCAAGAATGTAATACAGTTTTTTGTTGTTGTTGTTAGATCTTCCGTTTGATGATTCACTCCTTAAGCAGCCACAACAGCCAGAGCCACACTGATCTGAAGCCAGGAGCCCGGAGCCTCTTGCAGGTCTCCCACGAGGTGCAGGGTCCCAAGGCCTTGGGCCGTCCTCAATGGCTTTCCCAGGCCACAAGCAGGGAGTTGAATGCAAAGTGAGGCTGCCAGGATTTAGAACCAGCACCCATATGGGATCCTGGCACATGCAAGGTGAAGACTTTAGCCTCTTAGGCTACCACACCAGGCCCAGAATGCAATACTTTCAAACTCTTCATTTCAATTGTCTCACAACTTAAAAAAAATTTTTTTTTGTCTACTTTTATTTGAAAAGTAGAGTTACAGAGAGAAAGGGCTCTTGCACCTGTTGGTTCACTCCCCCAAATGGCCACAATGGCTGATGCTGGGCAGGTCTGAATGCAGGAGCCAGAGCCTCTCCTGGGTCTCCCATGTGTGTTCAGGAGACCAAAGACTTGAACCATCTCCTGCTGCTTTCCTAGGAATATTAGCAGGGAGCTGGACAGGAAGGGGAGCCGATTCAGTAAAAAGAGGAGTCGGAACTTAAACCATCACCCATTTGGGGTCCAGCACTGCAACTTACCATACCATGGTGCCAGCCCCAATTATCTTATAATACAAAGAGAAGGAAGGGTTGTACGTCTCAGAGAGGGAGCTGGGTGCCACACTTAGGCAGAGTTTGAGGATTTTTGATCCCTCCCACTAGGTGTCAGTCTGCATTACATAAGCAGGACAATACAGCTGGACTTCTGTTGGAGTCCAAGTTAAGTGTCCTCGCAAGCTCACCACCCCGGGGCCTGTCTGGCAGGAGCCAGCTATTCTGGCTGCAGTACACAGAACTGACACTAGGTGGCTCTGCTGGTGTTTCCGCACTGTAGGACAGACTAGTCTCACCAAGGACTACTGCAGTGTCACCACACTCAAGCCTAAAAGGGGCTGGGATTCAGCAGGAAGGGGGCCCCATGCCTACAGATGTCATTCCCCATCCTCCAAATACCAGAGTCATTGGGGCAAAGCTGAGAGTTTGCCCAACCGTCTTTCTCATCACTCTGCTTTACGTTTCAATTGCAATTGAACCTCGGGCGCTTGTGTTGTGAGGCTGGAAATTCAATGTGCTGCCTCCAAGGCCGTGAGTGCCTGGGCTCCTGCCCTTTCTGCACTTCCCTTCCCAGGGAGAAAACCCCTCTGTCCAGCCCATTCCACAGCCAGCTGCACCCTCGAGGTCTCAACCTGACAGCTCATAAAAGTCGCCTGCTCCACACGAACCAAGGTTGCCCCCCTCCTCCAGCCTCTGCAGAGCCTCATGTTTGCACCCTTCCACAGCTGAAGAGCCACGGGGCTGAGACCCTGCCCTGTGTGTGGCCTTCTTGTATTGTTTCGGGTGAGACGATGCCCCATTCAGCGTGGAGGTGACTAGGAGCCGATGGGAACAGCACCCGTGTCCTCAACCTCTTTCCCAGCAAAGCTTTCCTGGACTGTATTGATGACGCGATGAGCAAGTCCTCCCTTAAGCGCCTGCTCATGCATCTTGTGATTGGTCTTTGTGTCATGAGTGCCAGTGCTTGGGACGAAGACAAGCCTTGTGACATCAATGGCGATGCCTTGCACGGCTCTGCGTTTCCACATGCAGAGCCAGGGCACACGGCAGGACCCGGCAGCCTGCTGCAGGGCCACTAGCTTGCAGCACGTGCTGTTGGTCTCTTGTCCCTTCAGCGTTGTTGTTTCAGTGCACACCTGTCCACTTGCTCTGTCAACATCTGCATGTCTTTGCCTCAAGGCTTCCAGCATCCCCTCGAACACGGTATTTCCAGAGCCGCTCTCACTGACATTTAGGAGAGCCCCCTCCCCCCTCCCACCTGCAAGAATTCTCAGCTGCCATCACCCTGGCTGCAGGTGGACAGCGTGTAACCACGCGCCCTCTGTCGGTCGCTTCCCTGCCCACTAGGGATTCCTGGGCTGCCTGCACATGAATCCTTGTCTCAGCATCTGTTTGGGAAGTGAAGCGAGCCAAGGTTCTGTGCCTGCCACTGTGGAGGCAGAAGATGGAAGGCCTGGTTACAGCACTCAAAGCCCCGGGCTTCCTGAAAAGGTTCTCTGTAAGACTTTGTAAGCCGTGGGATATTTGAGGAAAAGTCATCGAGGGTGATACTCTGTCGGGGGCGGGTGGTGTTGGGTCTCAGGGCACGTTGCAAGCCCCAGGGAGGGAATGGATGGGTTAGGGGAAACTGACAGATTCCAGCCATGATGCTCTGAGACATGATGGGAAAATTGTTGGGATGTGGTGCGGGCCTGAGCACCAGGGATGGGGTAAAGGTGGGATATGGAGAGAAGCCACGGCTGATGGTGGCTTTTTCCAGGGTGGGAACTGAAGATGGCAGGTGTTCCCATGGAACTAAGAGGCCAACCAGGCAGAGTCAGTTTACGATGAAAATGGAATCTCTTCTGTTTGTGAGGCTGTACCAGAGCTATGGCTTCCTCAGAAACCCCAAAGCAACACTGTGGACGCTGAGGTCTCAGCAGGACGAGGCCATGAGTGATGCTGCTCACCTCAGTGAGCATCAGTCACCCAAGAAACTGGATGCAGATTTCTGGGTCCTATCCCCAAACAGTTCCCCTGCAGTGGGTTGGGCTGAGGCCCCGGAATCGGACATCGTTTCCCCTGAGGAATTTGGCCTAAATAGCCTGGGGAACACATTTGAAGAGGTGAAAAGAGACAAAAGGAAATAAAGGGAGAGGTGAGGCAGGGTGCAATCGCTCAGTGGCTAAATCCTCACCTTGCACATACTGGGATCCCATACGGGTGCCGGTTCTAATCCCGGCAGCCCTACTTCCCATCTAGCTCCCTGCTTGTGGCCTGGGAAAGCAGTTGAGGATGGCCCAAAGGCTTGGGATCCTGCACCTGTGTGGGAGACCAGGAAGAAGTACCTGGCTCCTGGTTTTGGATCAGTTCAGCTCCAGCTTTTATAAGCCACTTGGGGAGTGAACTAGCGAATGGAAGATCTTTCTGGCTTTCCTTCTCTTTGTAAATCTAGCTTTCCAAAAAAAAATGAATAAATCTTAATTAAGAAAAAAAAGAAAGAATGAATTAAGTACATTGTGAGTGAGAATTTCACCTCAGCTCACGAGTGTGTGACACCAACAGCCCCTTCAGAACCCTGGGAGACACGCAGGCTTCGTCATTGGCTGTTCCTGTAAATTTGGACCATTCAATGCAAGTGTATGCAAATGAACACACCCATCTATGCAACAAAGCAAGTTATCTAATTTTAAAGGTTTATTTATTCTTATTGAATATACAGATATACAGAGAAGAAGATCTTCTGTCCTCTGATTCATTCCCTAAGTGGCCGCAATGGTTGGAGCTGCACTGATCCAAAGCCAGGAGCCAGGCACCTCTTCCAGGTCTGCCACGTGGGTGCAGGGTCCCAAGGCTTTGGGCCGCCCTTGACTGCTTTCCCAGGCCACAAGCAGGGAGCTGGATGGGAAATAGGGTGGCCGGGATTAGAACCGGCACTCATGGGATCCTGGCTCATGCAAGGCAAGGATTTTGGCTTCTAGGCTACTGTGTCGGGCCTATGTTCTCATTTGAAAACCAGTAGTTTAGCAAAGTCACTGGGAAATAGAGTACACAGTGTGTCTGGTGTTGTGGTGCAGCAGGTTAAGCTGTTGCCTGCAACATCCGGGCATTCCACATGGGCATCAATTTGCGTCATGGCTGCTCCTTTTCCAATCCAGCCCCCTGCCTATGTGTCTGGGAAAGCAGCAGCAGATGGTCCATATGCAGGTGGCCCTGCCACCCGTGTGGGAGACCTGGAAGAAGCTCCTGGCTCCCAGATTTGGCCCAGCCTCGTCACAGCTGTTGCAGTCATTTGGGGACTGAACCAACAGATGGAGGATGTTATGTCTCTCTCTAATCCTCTCAAATAAATAAAGCCAATCTTAAAAGAGTATACAGTGTCTCAGTCCTTTTTGCTGATACTAAAGAATGAGCAAGGCTGAGCTAATAGGGTGGAAATCAGGTCAGTCATTTGTCCAGAGTGGGAGGAGTGAATGGTAAGGGCCTTAGGATGTTTCCTAGGTGATGGGAAGCTTATGTTTCCATCTGAGTAATGGGTACAGGAAACACTTGGTATATTTTAACTGACTGGAAGCCACGCTAGTTAGTGGTCCCTTTCTTTTTAAGTAGTATCTGTCTACACTTTCTACCTTTGCCTTTGTGTTTGATGTCACCTGCTACCATGTGACCCACTGGTATCTGAAGCAGGTGTGGTATTGGGGGGCAGGGCCCAGAGTTGGGGGGGGCTCAGGAGCATCACTCGTGCTCCTACTTAGAGGAAGAGAACACGACTGGAGAAATAAAGTTCCCTCTGACCTCCTGGCCCATCAGTGAGCATTCGGCACCAGCCCGCTAGAGCTGTAGTGAGGAAAGTGGCAGCCCGGCCCAGCCTGGCCCCCGTCTCTGATCCCCACCCCCACCCCCTGCCCTCACCTGTCAATGGCGATGGCCAGCAGGGCATTGGTGGAGACGTAGAGAGAGACGGTGCGCAGGTAGTTGATGGAGGCGCAGAGCACGTGACCATGCTCCCAGGAGAGCTGGCGCACCACGTAGTAGTCCATCTCGAAGGGGCAGCAGACGATGGCCACCAGAAAGTCGGAGATGGCCAGGTTAGCAATGAGCAGATTGGTGAGGTTGCGCAGTTTCTTGTAGCGGGCGAGGGCAGCGATGAAGAGAAAGTTGCCGATGCCGCAGACCAGCATGATGCCTGCCAGGGCCACGCCGATGACGATCTTGGCTGCGAAGAAGGTCCGGGTCTTGGTCATGTCCTCTTCCTCTTCCAGGGGGAGGTCGTAATCACTGTAGCTCAAGTTGAAGGGAGGGGATGACGCATGGTCTTGGGGAGGATTAAAGTTGGGTGCAAAGCTGGTGTTTCCGTGGTGGGTTGCCATGGTGATGTCTGTAGGTGGTGGGTAATGAGCGAGTTGAAGGTTGGGGTGCACTAAGCTAGGGTTCTGGATCTTGGTCTCACAGCACTGACGAGCCTAGGACCATGTTCCCAACCCTGAGAAGAGCTGACACTCCATCGTGGGTCCTGGAAGGAGACACAAGCAGTGGGTCACGTGCAGAACACCTGGAGGCACCCCTGTGGAGTTCCCCAGCACTCTGTCGACTCAGAGTTACCCAGAGTGCAGGGGCGAGAGACTTGAGCTCTCCACTGTCCGCCCAGGGTGCAGGGTGGACTGGACGCTTCCAGAGACACCAAGCTGAGCTTCTGTCCTTTCCCCACCTGGAGCCCCGGGGATCTTCTGGAAGTTTCCCAAGACTGCTTCTGGCACCCAGCCCCGGCTTCTCCAGCGGTCACATTCTCGGACCATCTGTTGGCCAAGGGCAATGAAACAGGAGGCCAGGGTTCCCGGGGGTCCTTTCCTCAAGGCTGGGCACTGTTCCCTTTTGTCCTGGCCAAACCACGGGCTTGGGAATCACACTACCCATTTTCACATGGAGAGGATGAATCATGCCGAACCACTGATTTATGCTCTAAGGATCCCGATCTTCCTGTAAAGCGAATTCCTGTGGCCCTGGCACATAGCAGAGGCCTCTGGGAAACTGCTACTGCGCACCAGGCCCTGAGCAGGGTGCTTCAGGGGGAGGGCGCCGGGGTGGGAAGGGCTTCTCTCCAACCCTTGTTCTCTGGGAACCTGCTATAGAAGTCTTGCAACCCCAGCATCCACTATTTGATCAATTTCCTGCTCCCTTCACCCCCCACCCCCCAGTCAACTCTGCCCTGGAGGCACCATCACTGCTCCCCAAGGTCTGCGACCGCCAGAAGTAGGGGTGATCAAGGTTCGACTTAACTGGAAACAGCCCCCAAGTGTGAGGAAGGGATCCCCAGGAGGGTCTGAGGGTGGTATTGCCCTTCCCTGCCAAGTCCCCAGGTTCTTACTGCCTCAAGATGCCCACAGCAGAGGAAACTAAACAAACAAACAAACAAACAAAAAACAAAGCCAAAAACAAACGAACAACCAACCAACCCTTAAGTTCCGCACCCCCCAGAGCACAGGACACCCCGGGGTGTAGCTGGAGGAAAGAAGCTGAACCCCACATCTGCTGAATGGGGCCCCGTGGCTAATCCTTAGCCGTCCCTTCGCCCCAGCACACAAGGAAATCACCCAAGGGCTGGAGCTGCAAGGTGCAGGCGGCTAGATGCAGACAAAAAGCGACAGGAGTCACAGAGGTACAGCGACACCCATGACACCCACGCTGCGATGTGTCCTCCAGTTGCAAGCCGGAGGCGAAAATCTCTGAGAGGCGATGTTCCAGACACAGTGGCATTTGTGCCCATCGGGTCGCCCGCGATACCTCAATCCCCAGATACCCCACTCAGCTGGAGCTGGAAAAGCCAGAGAGCGGTTCCCGCCGGCTTCCCGGCTTCCCGGCTTCCCAGCCCGGCAGCGCTTCAGCCCTAAGCCCCAACGAAAAGATGCTGCCGGTGAGGAGCACGTCCTGACCCCATTTCCGTTGTTATGTCCTCCCTCCCGGCCGCTACCGAGCCGCTCCGGTGGTCCCTCCGTCTTCGGCAAACTCCCCATGCGGGCGGGCGGGATCGGGAGACGCTGCCTGGCCAAGGGCAAGACCCAAGTCAGAACCGCCTGCTGCAGAAGCAGAGCCCGCTTCCGGGCTGCAAGGCAACGTGGGGTGCGGGGAGAACGTGGCGCACCGGGATCGTGCCAGTTCTCTTTGGCTCACCTTTCGGGCAGGGGCAGGGGCTCGTGTTCCTTCCGTGCAGTCTCGGGCTCCCTCCGCGCGTGCTCGCCCGCACCCCCCAGTCCCATCCTACAGCTCCCTGCCCGCTTCGCCTTCCAGGGAGCCCAGGCTCATCCTGAGAGTGCTGGAACGCAAAGCAAAAGCGGGCATCAGAGCCCCTTGCCTGGGGATGCCCAGGCTGCGCCTGCCTGAGCGCTCACCTGTCTCCACCGCTAGCCGTGATGTGCGTGGCTACCTCGCGGCTCGAGCGCAGATCACGCGAGCCAGGACGCTCCGTTCCCGCCTAGGGATGTGGCCCTGAACTTGCAGCTGGGTTTGTGCTTGTCGGGGGTCGGGGAACGCGTGTGCCTCTCCCTTTTCTTTCTTGCCCGGCGCGCCTCCCCGCCGCGTGGCGGTCTTCTTTCCCGCAGGAGTTGGCGCTCCGCCCCGCCGCTCTGCCCACCGTCTGGCACCCGCCCTTGCGCCCCGCCCCACGCTCGACGCCGCCGGGGAGGGAGTGTCCCCCGCCCGCCTGTGCGCTGGGGTCGGGGAAAGCCAGGGTCCAGCACCACGCCGTGGTCGCGGGGCAGCCGAAGCTGCCGCCGCTCTGGCGTGGGTCCCCAGGCTGCAGGGCTGACCCCTACCGGGTGTTTCTACGCCTTTGCACAGGGGGTGTGCCCTGGACCACAGCAGCCCGGAATCCGTGCTGTGATTCCAAAGATTGGGCACCTTCGCCTGCGCTTGGCCGTGGCGCCCTGTCCAGGTCATCCTTGCAGGGCGAGCATCCGCATCTGCTCCAAGGTCACTTCCTTGTGCAGGAACTTGGGGTACAGTGTGGGATTGTGGGTGTAGCAGGAGAAAAATCCCTGCGAGGAAGCTGGGGCTGGGAGCAGCGTGCCCTGTTCAAAGATCCGGCCCAGAGGCCCTCACCCCAGTTTGTGCTGTCCACCTTGGACGATCCCTCCGCTGTTAAAGACAGTCCCCCACCCCCGCCAGGTTTCCACTGGGGCTCTCCACTTTGCTAACAGCAGATTCCAGTTTCAGGCAGACTCCATGCTGTCCAGTCTTCCCATTTTTTGAGAGGGTCTGGGAGGTGAGTGCTTTATAGCTACTCTGTTTAGTGCAAATGAAAAAACCCGTAAGCTAAAGAGGACACATCCCAGACTACAGACATCCACTTGGGCTGGCAATTTGAAATTCCCAGAGAGATGATAGTGACAAGCCTTAGGGCTGGGAGACTCCCTGGCGCTCCTGCTTTTTCACCTGCTATGATTTGAGTTTCTCCAAGAGGAGTTTGCCCAAAAGGTCCATGTTCTGCAGACTTGGTTCCCCAAAAGGGGGCTATTGGGAGGGGGTAGCAGCTTGTAAATGGTGGCATCTGGTGGGGAATCCTTGGGTTCCTGGGGTATGTGTGCCCTGCCCGTGGGCAGAGTGGAATCCTTTAATTAGAGGAAACCTCCAGCCAAAAACGCTGTGTGTGCCCCTTGGGGGGGCGTGCCCCAAACTAGCGAGTGTGAGTTTCTGCCGGATTTCTGACAAAAGGGTGCAGACACAGGACCCCCCACTTAGTTCCTGTGTCTCGGATTCCAGCACCGCCTGCCCGGCTCGCCCAGCTGCTGCTGTGATCCTGTGAGCAGCACGTGTGTTCGGTGAACTTCTCTTTGGGGCTGAATTTACCCCGAGCTGAGTTCTGTTGCTTGCTAGCCAAGAAAGCCAACAGACACAGGTGCTTTCGTGGGGGGAGGTTGATTTCTAAAGCTCGCAAGGCTGGGACTTTGGCTCCTTCTGTGCCCGTGGATTTGGGAGAGCTGTGGTTTCTCTTGTGTAAGGGGAAGGCGGGTGTGATCAGGAGTTAGGTCGGGAACATGCTCTTCTGGCTGTGGGAATGTGCCTGCCTCTGTTGCAGTGTTGGGGTGGAAGTTAGAGCTGGACCGAGCAGAAGACAGAGCAGGCTGCCATAGCCCCGTGTCTGGAGCGGAGGGTGTTCCAGCTGAGGCCGCTGGGAACCCGACACATCCCTACTGTCGGTTCTCAGGCTCCAGTGTGTGCCAAGCCCCCCCTCCAACTGCTCCACCTGGGAAGGTTTTTATTCCTCACAGCAGTAAGATTTTCCTGGCCGCTTTGAGTAGTCCTTCTTGATTAATATTCCCACAAAATGCCAACACGAAAACCAAAGACACTCAGATGGGACCGTCAGCTCTGCTTCCACGTGGCCCAGCACAGTGGCCTCTCACTGTCTTGCTTGTATTACCAGCCATCAATCAAGATGGTATTTTTCTTTGCTTTTCGTTCCAACGAAAATTCATTTTTCTCTGATGTTTCGTTCCGTTTTGACAGCTTTTGAATCGCTACCAGCTGAAAATGTCTCAAGACACACATACAAGCCAGGGAGAAGTCAAAGTGAGCCCCAAGTTCAACATGCCTGTCTCAAACACCAGCTCGGTGTTAACACATTTAACTGGCCAACATGAGGCTGAGTTGGGTCACAGGCGGGGAAGGAGAGCGATGGCAGGTCACCCAGAGGCCACACTTGCTCAGAACGGGACATGGGTCTTGAGAGACGGTCGGCATACGCAGAAAGTTGCCTGCAGCACATGCATGTGCCTGCTTTGAAGCTCAAGGCCACTCACCTTCAGGTTCAGAAGCACTCTTTTAGGGGTGAGCCCTGGGAATTGAGGGAAAGTTGGACGGCCCTCTGAGTCGTCCAACTGGCGGCACGCGTTTGGTCTTTGTAGCAGTTTGGGCTTGAGCTGGACATAAAGAAGGCTGCGCTCTGAAACCTCACCACTCCGGTCACAAAGCCCCTCAATGAAAAAGAACTTGTCCAGACACAAGCATGTGAGGGCGTGGAACATCAGTATTGTGGGGGAGGGGCAGGGCCAGTCGAGTTGTACAATTTCTGTGAGCGTCTTCTTGTGATTGTCCATGTCCCTGCTGGCCAAAGTCATGTTAGCTCTCCAGGAGGAATGATGGGGGTTAGAGTGTGGGCAAGACCAGCAGAGGCTGCGGGGACCCCGTGTCACACTGGCAGGGGTAGGGGCTAAGGAGGCCCTGCGGGGATGTGCAAAGCCGTTTTTGTGCACTGAGAGCCCATGGCGTTGCAGTGAAAGAGAGGGAGGAAGAGATAGACAAGAGCACTCTAGCTGTGATAGGAAGAACCAGGTTCTACAACCAGAAAAGGGGAGCGGGGGGTGGGGAGCTTTCC